AAAAACCGAGTCTGGTTCGCAAACCGAGACAAGGCATAGAAAGGGTTCGGAAGCCCGGAGGCAGGGTTTGCAGCCACGGCCGCGACTCTGAAACTTCTGAACAAGCACATTATGCAACATCACCAAGCGCTCAATCGGTGACGTCTGAGTCTTAAGGTCGGTCAAAAATGGGGTGTCTACAAACAGTAGAGGAATAGATGCTGCGATGGTGGTTCTCTGGTCATCACTATTTGCAGGAGAGATCATTTTACAACAACGATTGCAGAAGAGAGAGAGAGAGAAAAGAGTGGATCACATGAGAGAGGAGAGAGGCGACGGTTTGCGGCAGGAGGAGAGAGACAGAGCACAGAGAGAGTCAGAGGGAAGAGAGATGGAATGGCTGGGTTTTGACCGTACAGTGATATATATATATATATATAAGACATGTATGTGTTTATATATACAGGAGGATGTAAGGGTAGTATTGGAATTTACAGAATAATTATGGATGACATTAGCAGAATCTATTTGAATTTGGATGGATGGGTAACAGAAGGAAGCCTTTGTATATTAGTTTCAAAAGTCAGGGAGATCTGTGTCATTTTTGAAACCACATGAGAGGTATCTGTAACTAAGGTAAATCTCAGGAGAGGTTAGTGTAATTTACCCTTTCATTTTTTTAGTTAATTCTGTTAAATAAAAAATTCTAACAATGGGATATTTGTAATTTTTCAAACCACAGAGGGTAATGTACTTTAAGCAAATCTCAAGGAGTGTATTTATAATTTACCCTAGAATATAAAATGATACAAAAGAATATCAAAACCTAAGAAAGTTCAATTTCCAAAATGGTGAATTGAATTGAAGAGAAGTTTGGTAAAGTAAAATCAATTAGTTTGAGCTCTCTACTAATAAAAATAATTTTTTTTTTTGGGGATTAATATTAATTTTATTTTTGAGTTTGGTATTAAACGTTGGACTTATTTTGATTAGTAACTGGGTACCGCTACTAATAAAAACAGTTTTGTTTTTGATTTGGTGTTTGGCTCTCTATTTAATTGAGGTCTAACAAAAAATAAAATAAAACGGGAGACTTATGTATAGATCTTAATATATAAATTTATTATTCAATAGGTTATATGATAATTAATGACATTTTTCATTAAATACTATTAAAAAAATCACTAATTGTTAATTTTTAGTGACAATTTAAAATTTGTCACACAAAATATCACCAATTATAAATTTTAGCGATAGTTTTAAAAAAATTGTCATAAAAAAGTCACTAATTTTTAACATTTAGCGACAGCTTAAAAAATTCTTCACGGAAAAGTCACTAATTGTAAGTTTTCGCGACAATTTATAAAAATTGTGCCAAAAATAAATCACTAATTATCAATTTTTAAGGACATGCAAAAAATCGTCACAAAAAAAAAATAAAAATAAATAAATAAACGATGATTTTACTATGACTTATTTTTTTATAGGATTTGATGAGAATTAAATCCAATTATTAGGACTGTTGGTAACTTATCCTAAAAAAAATTGTGTTAAATTTTATAAGATTTTATTTTTTATTTTTAAATAGGGTCTTTGTTTTTAGTCCAAATCTAGCGGGTCAAAGTGGCCGTTTTGCCGGCTTGCTCATGAGCCGGCCATGCAATATACTTAGCATAAAAAAGCAATTCACCAAAACACAGTCATACATTTTCTTTGCTCAATGGGGCTTCCAAGCTTAAGCTTGAGCATGTCATGGCTAGTACACAATTTGCATATTCATCTAATACTCTTATCTTGTTTAAGCATGCTCATCTCTGGCTTTACTACTACCATACCCAGCTCCAGGCTAATGGGGAACGAGACCGACCGGCTTTCATTACTGGCAATCAAGGCCAAAATAATTCAGGATCCACTGTATGTTTTGAGCTCCTGGAATGACTCTATCCACTTCTGTCAATGGCAGGGCGTTACGTGTAGCAGCAGGCATCAGAGGGTCACTGCCTTGGACTTACATTCCCGGGAACTGGTGGGATCGATATCACCACACCTCGGGAATCTAAGCTTTTTGAGGGAATTACTGATTCAGAACAATAGCTTTGGCGATGAAATTCCCCCAGAAATTGGTCGTTTGCCAAGGCTGCAGATTTTGCAGCTGAGCAACAATTTAATTGGTGGTCAAATTCCTGTAAATATATCTCGTTGTGCTAACCTCATTTCCATCGATTTTTCTCACAATGGGTTGGTAGGAGAAGTTCCTGTGGAGCTAGGATCCTTGTCGAAGCTCGAAATAGTAATTACAGAGGCCAACAATCTTACAGGGAGTATCTCTCCTTTCGTGAATTTGTCGTCTCTTCGATACCTGGATTTAGATAACAACTACTTTGACGGCAGCATTCCTGATGGTTTTGATCGATTGAAGAATCTTCAGATACTCACACTCGGCATAAACAGGTTGTCCGGTGTCATCCCTGCGTCGCTCTTCAACCACTCTTCTCTCACAACTTTTGATGTCACTATCAACCAAATTCAGGGAAGTCTACCCTGGGACATGGGAATCACTCTTCCCAATCTTGAATTCTTCAGCATTGGTGAAAACCAATTTACAGGATCAATTCCGGTTTCAATATCGAATGCATCAAAACTCTATTGCCTAGAAATGGTTCAAAACAAACTTACTGGAAAGGTTCCTAATTTATCGAGGCTGCAAAACCTCAAGTGGCTACTCCTTGCAAACAATCAGCTTGGATCCAGGGAAGCTGATGACTTGAACTTTATCTTTTCTTTGATCAATGCCACCAATTTACACCATTTGGAAGTGAACATCAACAATTTTGGCTGCAAGTTTCCAGAATACATCGGTAATCTCTCGAGAAACCTTGAATATTTGAGTCTACACCACAATCATATATTCGGAAGCATTCCACCTGGGATTGTAAATCTTGTTGGCTTGCAGAGTTTGACTATGCAACTTAACCAATTCACTGGTACTATTCCAAGTGACATTGGAAAGCTTCAAAATCTACACAGATTGAATCTCTTCAGCAATTCATTGTCTGGTAACATTCCATCTTCCCTAGGAAATCTGAGTTTGTTAAGTAAACTTGTTTTAGGACTAAATAATTTTCAGGGAAACATTCCTCCGAGCCTAGGGAATTGTAGTAATTTGCAAATGTTGTGTCTTTGTCAAAACAACCTTACTGGTGCCATACCAAAACAAGTTGTTTCTATCTCATCCTTATCTATATATCTAGACCTATCCCAAAACCAATTGAGTGGTTCTCTTCCCACGGAAGTTGCAAATTTGATAAACCTTGGTTACTTGGATGTCTCGTACAACTTGTTATCCAGTGAAATTCCGAGCACTCTAGGCAGCTGCACAAGCCTGGAAACGCTGCGTTTGGGGAACAACTTTTTCAACGGAACCATTCCTTCTTCTTTGAGTTTCTTGAGAGGCCTTGTAGAGTTGGGCCTCGCGAACAATAAGTTGTGTGGTGAAATTCCTATGTACTTGGAGAGCTTTATCTTCTTGCAAAATTTGAATCTGTCTTTTAATAATTTTGAAGGTTTAGTATCAACAAAAGGCGTATTCAGTAATGCAAGTGCACTATCAATGGTGGGAAACAGTAAGCTCTGTGGGGGTGTAGCTGAATTGAAGCTACCTAAATGCAACTTGAAAGTGGATGAAAAGAGGAGATCAAATAGTGCCTTAGCTTTAGCACTCTCTATAACCTTTGGTTTTGTAGGACTAGCTCTCATGGGGTGTGTTCTATATCTTTGCTGGTTTAGGAAGAGAAGAAAAGATACTCCTTCATATTCATCAAAAAATTTACTCTTGAGGGTGTCTTACCAAACTCTTGTTAAAGCCACTGATGGCTTCTCATCATTCAATTTAATCGGTGTTGGTAGTTTTGGGTCTGTGTACAAAGGAGTTATTGATGGAAGAATTGTCGCCGTGAAGGTACTTAATCTTTTGCGACGTGGAGCTTCGAACAGTTTTGTATCTGAATGTGAGGCACTAAGAAACATCAGACATCGGAATCTTGTCAAGGTGCTAACGGCATGTTCGACGATAGATTATCAGGGTCATGACTTCAAGGCCCTGGTTTATGAGTTCATGGTCAATGGGAGCCTTGAAGAGTGGTTACATCCAAATTGCAATGAAGATTTGTCAAATGAAGAGTTTAAGAAGCTAAACCTTCTGCAAAGACTAAATATTATCATTGATGTTGTTTGTGCCCTGAATTATCTTCACAACCAGGCCCAATCCCCAATAGTCCACTGTGATCTTAAGCCAAGCAACATTCTTCTGAACAAAGATATGACCGGGCATGTTGGTGATTTTGGATTAGCAAAATTCCTTGCTGACCATGCCACCCATGGCTTGTCTGCAAATGCAACTTGCTCTATTGGCATAAAGGGAACAATAGGTTACACTGCTCCAGGTGAATATGTCTTCATTTATTCTTAATTGTTTCGTGCATCAAAAAGTGTAAAGAAAACTGCATGTGTGATTTGGACCACACATTATTTTTTCTGTGCATAGTTCTCTGACTTTTTCTGTTTGTGGAGCATTTTTGTCTTTTATATCTTATAATTTTTTCCCCTTACAATGGCATTTTTTCTTGTAGAATATGGTATGGGATGTGAGGTCTCGGCATATGGTGATATCTACAGTTTTGGCATCCTTGTGTTAGAAATGTTTACTGGGAAGAGGCCCACAAATGAAATGTTTAAAGATGGGTTAAGCCTCCATAGCTTTGTGAAAGAGGCTTTGCCCTGCAGTGTATCAGAGATTTCAGACCCAACACTTTTTAAGATCGAAGGGGAAGAAGAAGAAAGCTTCATAAGAGGTGAAAAGACAGTGGAGTGCTTGAGTTTGATACTTGAAATTGGAGTCAATTGTTCTTTAGAATTGCCTAGAGAAAGAATGGACATTGATGATGTTGCAACTAAATTGCATTTCATCAAAGACACTCTTCTAGGATCTGAAATACATTGAAAGACATGAATTTATGAGGGAATCAATTGGAATGTAATGCTTTTGTCTTAATAATCTCCCTCTTAGAATTTGAAATGTGTTGATCGGATTTATTTTGGGTGTGATTCTCATTACATCAAATTTAAATGTACATCACAAATTCAAATTTTATATATGTTCCTTGCACATGAATTTTTTTTTTTTTTTCTCATTCAATGTTAATAATACATGATGAAGGGATAGCATTGTAATAAAATTCAAAGTATAGAGATCAAATTATTTAAATTAAAATTAGTAGGACCAAAATAAAATTTTGCTCAAAATAGAGGGACCAATTGTATAAATTACCCTTTTTCAACTACAATCCTATTTTGATTTACCCTTGAACACAAATCCCTAACCGTGCATTGGTCAGGCGAAATCAATCTGTGAGTTCTTCATTTTCACTCTCTTTATTTGTTTATCAAATTTTAATAATGGAAGACTACATTTGTTTTCTCTAATTTCTTTGCTATAATTTGTGAGCCTCAATTTATTTGAGGATATAATTGTTTGGCCCTAATTATCAGTTAGGGCTATAATTGCTCAAGTTACTTAGCACTGTTAATAATGGCTTTTCACTGTTTTAGTTGTTGCCCTCAGTTATCCCTAATTATATAGTTGTTGCCCTAATTTGTGTTGTGTTGTTCTGTCCTTGAATTCAATTTATTGTTATATATGCTTATATGTGTAAATGCAATAAATCAATTCTAATTCTATGCTTAATGCTATTTTTCATTGGTTTGGTGCTTCAATGGAAATCTTTAATCGTTGTTGTGCTCTAATTTATGAAAACATATTATTTGCAGATAGTCATTGTGAATTTGTGCCGATTTTTTATTATATAGCCATGCCTTTTAGAAAGTATATTTTCGGATATGAAAAAAGAAAAAGAAGCAAAAAGTAGAAAAAATTGTCCAATCTTAATCAGGAGCACTTGCTAAATTTGTTGATAGCAAGAAACAAATAGAAGGGCCTATCGAACCCCCTTAAAACTTAGGGCTGGCCCGAACTCCTGAACACCAGTTTAAATACACCTGCATTTCATGGGTTCAATAGTGGCTTTCTCTTCTGTGAAACAAACAAACTCATCTAAAAGGTAAATAAACTCGAATCACACAAGTACATTACATTATCATTCACACATGGACTAAATAGGAAATAATCTGATAATCAAATTATTTATACACTTTGTGAGATATAGATTCCCAGTTTGAAGATAAAAGTACAAGCATAATCATCTTCTTTTTTGACGGAGTGTTTACCATTTATCACCACTTTGACAAGCATCAAGCTTCATTGTCCTGCAATTTAGTTACCAAAGAGCAAAAATGAGGGCCTAAATATGAACTCACATTCTAGATTGGTTCGGTGGTTAACATAATTCATGGAGTTCAAACACATAAAAGCATTATTAATTATTTAAATCATCATTAATCCAATTGAATCTTTTAGATTACCCACACAAGGGCATAATGGCCAATATTTTAACAGCAATGCTAGGTATCATGAAAAGTCTTTCATGAAAATGATCATGAAAGACTTGTGACCTTTGGATTATATTTAGAATAAAACACCACACACTAATCAAGGTAATCTAAGGATCACAAATATTTCATAATCATTTTCATGAAAAAAATTTCATAATCCCTAACATTTCTCATATTTTAATGCTAAACAAATGGAAAAAATGTAATGAATTTATTACAAAATGACATGACAAGGGTCGTGTATTATCTTCGACTTGAAGGCTAGCAATGAAAGTCCGTCTCATTACCACCAAAGGTACTAGCTGTAGCGGCTGCCGGGAGCATTCCAACATGTAGCAATGTCATGACCATAAGACATAACTGGAGCAGTTGGGTATTTATTCCTGAAATTTGAAATGTTATTTTTCTAATTCTGTTTTGTATGCAGAGTTAGCCTTAATTGGGTTGTGATTAAAGATTCCACAATGGCAGGACTGTAATGCACGTGAATTAATTTGTCTTTTTCTTTTCTTTTCTTTTTTCCTTCAATTTCACCACAGTGGGAAAACAAAATGGAAAATGTGCATTGTTTCCATCGCTCAACTTGCTTGCATAACTTGCCCCACGATGGAGAGTCCTGGAATTGATAGCCCACCCTTTAGACTGTGTGATGAGTGATAACATATTTTGTGGTTGCATAGAAGTAACTAATAATGCTTGCATCCATTACATCCATTTCTGGTGCATTAATTGCATATATACTTCTAACTCCAAAGCATGAGTTATTTGCTATTTTGGCTTATTGAAACACTTCTTACACATTCGGGAGTACATTGACATAAGTTAAACATTGAGAACCGAATTCAAACACTTTTGTACATTGAAAATTAAATTGACACAATTTAGACATTGTGGACCAAAAAGACATAAAGTTCGTACTTTAGGGACTAAAATTGAAATATCTAAAACCCCAGGAGATATTGATTTGTGATTATAATTCAATTTGAAATAATGAATAGCACTCATAATCAAACAATCAACAACAAAATCAGCACAACAATTTCACGTGAAAAAAAATCACTATTGGAGCACCTCCAATTGTAATAAAAAATCACGGGCCAAAATAACAAAATAATCCACTAAGAAGACAAAAAGAAATTACACACGAGAGCCCTCAATTACCTAGTTATTCCATGCCCAAATTGAACCAAACTCGATGTGAATCTTCCACCACCTTCTTCATCTCGGAATTGCTTTACCCAACGTTGAATCCACAACGCCGATGTCGAATCTACGACGATGAGCCATTCCGGAATCCACCGATGAACACCTCTCTCTTTTTGTAAATGAAAGAAGAAAAACAACCCTTGATATTTGACAATATGTAATTCATTGATCAATCCATCATCTTCTATACATCAAGGAAACTGATATATAAACACCCTCTAATTTAGAACACTGTATTTTACTCCTCTCTGAGAATCTAGAAGGGTTCAACCCTAAAAATAGCAAATGGCACACTTTATACTAAACAAAAAGTCACGATCGAAAACCGCTCTAGCGGTGTGAGTAAAGGCAGTGCAAACATATAGGCTAACCTGCTTGAGTGCAACATCTACCGCTCTAGCGGTAAAACTTGCTTCTCAGAAGTTCAGAACACAAGTAGAGATACTGGATGATCTACTTCACCGCTCGAGTGCACAAATGACCGTTCAAGTTGTCAAACAACTTTGACCCCGTCCTTCGTCAGCAAAGTGGCAAATAAGAATGCTCAAGTCACGATATGAAATGTCAGCACAAACTTCTCTAGCATAAGCACAACTCGGGTTGGATTCATATTTAAATTCTCATAATTCACAGAAACAATAGAGTGAATAAAAATACAACTAAATAAAATTTTATTTAATGGGATTGCCAATTACAAAAACTATAATTAACCTACCTCTAATTATTATGCCATTTTTGGGTACTGGCACTGTCATGAATTGCAGTAGGATCTTATTATGTCTTGGATGTTTAGAAGAAATTTAGTTCCCAAGTGTAGTTCCTGTGTAGTGCATCTATGCTGGTGCTTTGGTGGTAATTGTGACTTGGCCTCTTGCCAACTCCTATTGTTTTGTATTTTCTTAGGCTATTCTATGAAGTCTATTGACCTTTGTGGGGGTATATGTGGAGTCCAATATAAGCAATCTAAGTCCATTGACATTAGTAGGGGGACTTGTGAATTGAGTATATTGACTATAAAGGGATTTCCAATTTCATTAAATTGTATTATCACATGAACCATTTTTATTTTTAATATAGTGTTACTAGAATTCATATAAATTTATACAATTCTTTTTTAACTTATTTAATATTTTAAAAGGGAAAATCTATGACGCACACTTTTAAATTGGGGAATTGATGCTTTTCATTGTTACAAGGATTGCCATCAAGTGTAGTTGCAGCTATACAAGATCTGAGTGTGTTTTCTTTGGAGTGAATGGAAGTTTCAATTTTGTTTGGTGTTGAAATTTTAATGTTTTAGCCTCGGGTACTCTATCTGGATGGGTTGTTTTTGTTGGTATTTTGGGTTAAGAATTAAGTCTACTTATCATCAGATTCTTTTATTAATTCCTATTATCTTCGAGCTAATAATTTTTTTTTATTTGATCACAAAAAAAAAAAAAAAGCAAAATGGGGCACATCATAAAAGTAACGATTTTGTGTGGTGAAATTTATGAATATTCGTGGTGTGTTATGTTAATTTGTGGAAAAAGTTACTATGAAAAATTTATAGTATCCACCCTAAAGTAGGGGTGGAGTGGACTTGTGCCTAATGGCCTGCCAAGCTCCCCCAAGTCTGCCCATGATTTATAGGACTTGGTATTATGATTTGGGCTCATGAGGTCAGGTTGGGAAAAATATTCTGGCCCAATTATGATATAGGCACTACAAGAAAAACAGGATGTAGTGACATTTTTTTATGGCGTATTTCAAAAACATCATGAAATCTGTCAAGAATTTTCAAATTCCTAAAAAATTAAATTATATCATCTCCTTTTGTGCGCCGATTATTAGAAAACAGGGGTTAACATTATGCCGTTAAAATAAGATAATTAAATTATTCATTATTTCTTTTTAAGGTAGTTGTACTTGTAGGAAATTCAAATCAATTAAAAGGACTAATAAATGTGAATGTTTGATTAAGATTGCGTATGATTTTTGCGAATGTTTTGGTAAATTTATGATTAACTGATGTTTTCTAGGCATTTCAATATGTTAAAACTTTTTCCTTGTTTGTTTGTTTATAATATCACACATACTAATCTTTAATTTCTCTTTTGTCTACATTTTAATAACTCTATAAGTGGGTGAGAGAGTGACATTAGAATGAGATAATGACTTCAGTGCTTGTAATAATAGTTGTTTTGACTTGATGCATTTAGGTTGATGGAAAGAACCATAAGATGGGCTGTAGTTGCCTTCATTGTAATTATTAAAGTATTAGAATTTTCTTTTATTGGGTTGATA